GAGGAGGAGGAGGAGGAAGACGTAGTAGCGCACTTCTCCTGACTCGAGCATCTCCGGTGGGGACCGATTGCCCAGCATAAACGAACTCTTATTCAAGCACGAGTATTTGCGCAAGGCAGCCTCGGGAATCTCCAGAGGCTCTGGAAGCTGCTGCACTATCTCGGCCATGCGATGGCCTGATCCAAGCCGAGTGAGCGGGATGCTCGTCTGCAGAAATCCCGAGCTCATGGTGTTCTGTGGCAAGTCAATCACGCACTCGAGGAAATCAAGAAGATTGACACTCAAAATGTGCGGGATGTCCTCGGCCAGTACCGTGGTTTCCACGATGCCTAGCGACGCCCCGAGGCATACTGGGAACAGCACCGTGCCTAACACTTTGGCGGCTCCTCCTACCCCGTGAGCTGCCCTCGGCCGCTGCAGCTCCTTCGGGATCGTCTCATAGCACATCCCCAGGTCGGCCAGGGCTCGGGACTCGCGGTTCAGCGCGATCAGCCCCACCAGGTCGCTGCCCGCGCCGGGGTCCACCAACGCCTGCGTCGCAGCCGCCGTCAGGTACACCTCGGACTGGCCGTCTGCCTTGAGGTCCTCAAGCATGTCCGAGGTCAGCTGCTCCTCCGGGACCGCCTCGCAGCCGACGAACGCGTAGGCCGACACCGTGCGCCTCTGGCCCCGCTGCTGCTGCTCCTGCTTGTGCCTCGGATTGTCCTTGTCCGGGCATTCGCGGTGCCAATGACCCTTCTTCTTGCAGATGGCGCACCGGGTGATCTTCATCAGCTGCTCCTTGGACAGCTGTGGGCGCCCGCGCACACCGCGGCCAGCGCCTTTGCCTCGGCTCTGGCCGAAGCGCCCCGTGCTGGGGCGTCCGCGCTCGCCCTGCCCTGCTCGAGGCTGGGGAGGAGGAGGTACTCCGGACCGTGGACGTCCAAAGTACTCGCGGTCCTGACGGGCCGCCCGCTTCATGTCTTTGTTCTGCTTCCACGTGCGGTTGTTGGGCCTGGACTCGATCATCGCCAAGGCCTCGTCGATCTGGTCCTCGTCCAAGTCCAGGTCCTCAAGCTCTGCGAGGAGCGCCGCTTCGTCCTCGCCGTCGTCGTAGTAGTCGTCGTCCTCTGGCTCCATCTCTTCGTCCACTCCAGAGTCTGGACCGACCTCCGACGAACCAACCGGGTACGAGGGGAGAGGAGAGCTGCCGCTAGCCTCGCCCGGCTCTTCGGCCTGGGCACCGGCGAGCAGAGAAGCCTGCCTACCTCCTGGAAGCATCCGCTCTGTCCCGGATGCGTCCATCTGTCGGAGCGCCCAGCTCACACTCTCGAAGTCGATCCTGCCCAGCGTCAGGGTTCTCAGGTTCTGCATGCTCTGGGCGCTGAGCCCGGAGCCCTCCTCGAGCAGGAACCCCTTGATCTTGGACGAGAGGATGAGGTCGTGCCCCTCGGCCTCGAGGAACTGTGCCTCGCGCCTCGCCACATACTGCGTGAGGGTCTCCTTCTGCTCTCGGGAGGCCTCATACAGAGCTCGCCTGCCACTGCGTCGGAGGTCATCTCCCTCACGTTCGCCTATCATGAGGTCCATCTTCTTCAGCACCACGTCTATCCACTCGTCGCTGGTCAATGTACTCTCTGGTATGTTGTCGAACTGCGTCTGCATCGTCCACTCGAACAGCCGAAGGAACTTCTCTGAGCGCCTCCAGACGGGGACGTCCGTGTTGGTGTTCCACCTCCGGAGGGCCTTGCGCCAGGCGCGGTAGTGCGACCAGCCCGGCCAGGATGGGGGGTCGCTGTAGTCCCCCTTCCCGTGCCAGCCGCCGCCTCCGCCGCCAGCACCTGAAGCAGACCATGTCCGCTGCCAGCTCGTGTCGTAGTCCCTCCACGCGCCGTCCGTCTGGCCGTCCTTCTGGCGGTCGTCCTTCCAGCGGCTGTCCTTCCAGCTGTCGTCCTTCCACTCCTTGTCGTTCCAGTCGTCCTTCTGCTGGCTGTAGTCTTTCCGACCATGCCAGCGGTGGGAGCCCTGGGCGGCACCATCTTCACCTGCTGCTGCCTCTGCACTATCCCGCCAGGGGTCCCAACCGCTATCCTTGGGCTCGTCCTGACCCTGGGAGCTGCTGGCTGCAGGCCCTGCTGGCTTGACCGTCTGCATGGCCTGTCTGACCGCTCCAGCAACTAGCTCCGTCAGCTGCTGAGCTGACAGGGTCACGGCTCCTGGAGTCCCCCCTGCCGCTCCTGTCGCCACTGGTGGCGCTGTCGGCGGGGTCTCCATGAAACCAGCCACTCCCTTGCCGTCGTCGTCCTCGCCGTCGTCCGGCATCTCCGTGTGCCGCGCCGCCCCGTCGGCGCGAGCCCGGAGACAGCGGGGGCTCGCAAGCAGCGGCCGGGCTCACCCCCTCAGGGATGCCCGCCGCCACCCATGGCCACCCGCCGCACCAGGCTCCGCTACCAACTGTGGCAGCAGCAGGGGCAGTAGATGCTTTTCCCTTGAGCCAAACGTGTCACAACGGGTGAAATATGACAAGCTAACCATATGCTAAACCTGACGGGGAAAATCTGGAGACCAGCTACAGCCCCAACAGCACCCAAGAGGCCTCCAAGATGGCCCCATGACGGCCCAAGAGGCCCCCAAGAAGGCCCCAAGAGGGCCTCAAGACGGCCCAAGAGGCCTCCAAGACGCCCAAGATGGCCTCCAAGACGGCCAAGATGGCCCAAGATGGCCTCCAAGATGCCTCCAAGACGGCCAAAATGGCCTCCAAGACGGGTAAGATGGCTCCAAGATGCACCCAAGACGGCCCAAGATGGCCTCAAGATGGTCCAAGACGGCCTCCAAGACGGCCCAAGAGAGTCCAAGACGGCCCAAGACGGCCCAAGAGGCCGCCCAGAGGCCTCCCAGACGGCCCAAGAGGCCTCCAAGAGGTCCTCCAGGAGGGCCCGAAGAGGCCAAAATCATTGCTTTTTCACTAGGTGTTTGAAGGATTTGGGAATTTGCTTCTTCTCTGCATTCCGACGGCTCAAGACGGCCCAAGAGGCCCCCAAGATCGCCCAAGAGGCCCCAAGAGGGCCCCATGACGGCCCAAGTGGCCTCCAAGATGGCCCCAAGAGGGCCCAAGAGGGCCCAAGAGACCTTCAAGACGTCCTCCAAGAAGGCCCGAAAGGGCCAAGACGTCCTCCAAGAAGACCTTCAAGATGCCCACGTGTTCCCCGAAGGCTTTCCAAACCGACTCGGGGAACACATGGTCCGATAGCTTGGCAGGTCTGGCCTCAACGTTCGGCCACATAGGCGCTTCCACAAAGGCAGGGGGCGGCGGTGATTCGCCGTAGGCGTCTTCGATCCGCCGCCTCCTGTTGATTCATCATAAGGGTGCCTGGCGTGCTAGACGATTTCGGTTTTGGTTTTGATTCTTTTCCAAAAGAACTCCCCCTGGGGCTCCGACGCGTCCCGCCGGGGGGTGCCAACGGTTTTCCTGCCCCAGACGGCCCCAAGATGGCCCAGGATGGCCCAAGATGGCTTCCAAGACTGCTAAGATGGGCCCAAGATGCCTCCAAGACTGCCCAAGAGGCCTCCAAGACGGCCTAATATAGCTTCAAGATGGCCCAAGACGGCCCAAAAGGCCCTCAAGAGGCCTCCAAGACGCTCCAAAGAAGCCTCCAAGCGGTCCTCCAGGAGGGCCCAAAGAGGCCAAAATCATTGATTTTCCTGAGGTTCATGAAGGATTTTTGCATTCGCTTCTTCTCGGCTTTCCGACGACCCAAGACGGCCCACGAGGCCCCCAAGATCGCCCCCACAGCGCCCAAGAGGCCTCCAAGATGGCCTCAGGACTGCCCAAGAGGCCCCCAAGACGGCCCCAAGAGGCGCCTAGGACGGCCCAGGAGGCCTTTAAGACGCCCAAGATGGCCTCCAAGACTGCCCTGGAGCACCCCAAGAGGGCCCCAAGTCGGCCAAAAAGACATCCCAAACGGCTTCCGACGGCGTCAGACGGGCCAGGAGCCCACCAAGACGGCCGAAGATGGCCCTAAGATGGCCCAAGACGGCCCAAGAGGCCTCCAAGAGAGCCTCCAGGAAGGCCAGAAAAGGCCAAACACATTGATTTTCCATAGGTGATTGAAGGATGTTGACATTTGCTTCGTTTCGGCCTTCCGACGGCCCGATACGGCCCAAGAGCCCCCAAAGATCGCCCAAGGCTCTTGGGCGAGCTTTGGGCCCCAAAGCTCGCCCAAGAGGCCGCCAAGATGGCCCCAGACCGGCCCGAGAGGCCCCCAAGACGGCCCCAAGAGGGCCCCAAGACGGCCCAAGAGATTTTTAAGACACCCAAGATGGCCTGCAAGACGGCCCTGGAGCATTCCAAGAGGGCCCCAAGTCGGCCCAGAGAGGCCCCCCAAACGGCTTCTGACGGCGTCGGACGGGCCAGGGGTCCACCAAGACGGCCGAAGATGGCCCTAAGATGGCCCAAGACGGCCCAAGAGGCCTCCAAGAAGGCCTCCAGGAAGGCCCGAAAAGGCTGAAATCATTGATTCCCCATGAGTTTTTGAAGGAATGCCCCGAGACGGCCCAAGTGCCCCCAAAGATCGCCCAAGACGGCCCCAAGAGGCCCCCAAGACGGCTCAAGAGGCCTCGAAGACGGCCCAAGAGCCGTCCAAGACGTCCTACAAGAAGGCCCGAAAGGGTCAAAATGGCCTCCAGGCGGCCAAGATGACCTTCGAGATGCCCACGTGTTCCCCGAAGGCTTTCCAAACCGATTCGGGGAACACATGGTCCGATAGCTTGGCAGAGCTGGCCTCAACGGTCGGCCACATAAGCGCTTCCAAAAAGGCAGGGGGCGGCGGTGATTCGCCGTAGGCGTCTTCGATCCGCCGCTGATTTGTCTCTGACTCGTTTTCCTAAGTGCGAGTGGCCTCGGGAGTTTCAGAGCAGTGGAGCCGCGTCCGTCTCGTTCGCTGCTCCTGCTGTTGCTCTCTCCCTCTGCTCCGAAACCGCTCCTGCTCAAGCTCTATCATTCGTGGGGCCCCCGGCAGTGCATGGTGGTGCCGTGGGCCGCAGCCGGCCCTTGGGCGGCCTCCATCGCGACCGCGTGGCTCTCGCGCTGTCCCGCGTGCCCGGAGGCCCGCGTGGCGTGCGGGGCCTGCCCTGTGTGCCCTCCAGCGGCGGCCGCCGCCCCCTGCCCGGGCTGCCCGAGCTGCCCGGGCTGCAGCTTGACCTGCGGGACCGGGCCAGGCTGGTGGGCGGTCCTGGCCGCCCTGGCCGCTGGCCTCGCGGGCGGAGGCAGCCTCCGCGTGGTGCTGGGCTGGGCCGCCCGGGCCGCCTCGCTCTTCGTCGGGAGGACCGACCTGCCGCGGCGCGAGGGTGCGGCGCCCGTGGGCCTGCTCGTCGAGGACGACGGAGCGGGCCAGGACGGTGGCGCTCAGCGCCGCTTCCGGGCAGTGCGAGCGTAGCCTGATCGTCGGCCGTTGGCGAGATGGTGGCGGCGGCGATGCATACGCCCGACGCGGCCGAGCCTCAGGTGTGCGCGAGCTACGACGACGACGAGAACCTTCGGAGGCACCACAGGGAGCTCCTCAAGCAGCTCTGCCCTGGCGTCTGGGTGCCGACGACTCCCGATGGCGAGGTGCTGACGCTGGACCTCAGCAAGCACCTGGTCGGCCCCCTACGCCGGGCGTCCCCGTTCCCGGCCTGGGTTCGGGGGCAGGTCTACGCGTTCGGCGATCAGTCGAACGAGGACATCGAGGCGCTGCGGGAGGAGGCGCGCGGCCTCGCCCTGGCCATGGGCGTCTCTGCCCCGGCTGGGGCTGCTGGCGGCGTCGTGCCGCGCTGGATCGTCTCGGACCCAGGCTCGCCCGAGTTCTGGCGCGAGCTGGACCTCCACCTCATTGGGAACCCGGAGCGGCTGATCAGTCGCGACGCTGTGGGCATTGCGTTGCTCAGCGAGGAGGAGGGGCGGGTCTCGGTCGAGGGCGCACAGCAGGCCGACGAGGAGGGCCGGCGCGGGGAGAAGCGCCGAGGCCCGGGGCGCGACCCGGGGATCCTCCCGCTGGCGCGGCGGGCTCGCGGGGGCCAGGTGACGCTCGGGGAGGCGATCGCGAGGATGAACGCGGTCGACTTTGGCGACTGGCCGTCCTGGGGGTCGAGGGCCCTGCCCGAGCTGCTGGCCGCCATCCTTGTCACGGGGCTGACCCTCACTTCCTACTGGGGGTACTGGGTCTCGGAGTCACGTGTGTCGCGGAACGCCGTGGTGGCCCAGGAGGTGCGGCACGCGTTGAACCAGCTGCACCACGCCGCGACCTACGACCTCGTGGACCCGTCGAACCTGGCGTCTCTGGAGCTCCTGGGGCGCCGGGTGCTGCAGATCCAGCGGGCGGTGAAGAGGTGCCCGCGCCACCTGAGCTTCGAGGGCCTCGACCTGACGCCGATCAGCTCCTTGGACGAGAGCAGAGGCGTCGCGACGTCGAAGTTCGACGCGTTCGTGGCCAAGGGGCAGGAGGCGCAGGGCATCATTCTGAAGGAGGAACAGATGTACCGGGTGGAGCAGGTGTCGGAGGCGAAGAAGTACGAGAGGCAGGGCGACGACAGGGAGAGGGACCCCAGGGCGGACCCGAAGGGCAAGGTGAAGCCGATGCCCAAGGCCGCCGTGAAGGATCAGGGCTGACGGCGCCATGCCGGCGCCATCATGGCTGGGCGCTCCGCCCGGCCTCACTGGGCCTGGCCCCGACTCCGCAGCCGCGAATGCGAGTCGGGCCGGGCTGCCCTCCGAGGGGGTCTCCTCCGAGGGTCGGACTTCGTCCACAGTTTTGTTTCCTCTGCCGCAGGGGGACGAGTTCTATCGCCACCCTCATCGTGGAGAACGTGCCGCTCTGCCTCGGTATCTGGCCCAGCGTGCTGCTCGTGCTGACGACCGTGATCGGAGGTCTCTCGAGGCTCTGGGGGCGCTCAACGCGCTGGCAGGCGCACGGGCTGGGGGTCGTCTCGAGCCTCGAGCGCCCGGCAAGCATCGGCCGACTACCGCCCAGGAGTCGGTCATCAAGCGAGTCCGACGTCGTGTTCGCGGCTTCGGCGACCGACCGAAAGACATGGACTGTGCTGGAGCCCTGCAGGAGCTCCTCAAGTGCAAGGATCTGTACTCGAACATGGGCGAGGCTTCTACTCGCCGCGACTATGATGCTGACAAGCTCAATGTGTTACGACGTGCGCCACATGACCGGCCTCGTCAGCTTCGAGACGTCGCCCCTCGGCACGTCACCGAGGCGCTGGACCACTTCAACTCGGACGTCGTTCGGCCCACGCCGAGCATCCCCGAGGACGAGGTCATCGTGGAGCCCTACTGGGATCCTCTCCTCAACCCGCGCGACCCTCGGAACCGACCACGCCTCGTCGACTTCCTTCGACGACTTGCCGCACGGGGCTTGGTGGATGGCCGGGCGCGTCGGAAGGCGTGCGTCAGTACTTTCTTCGTGGCCAAGAAGAACGGCGACATCCGCATGGTCGTGGACGCTCGTCAGCCCAACCAGCTGCACAAGCTCCCCCCTCGGACTGTGCTGGCATCCGGTGAGGCGCTGGGCTCGATCAACTTGCTCGACGCCGTCGGTGCGAGCCCCGAGGACTTGGCGGATTTCGATGGCTGCTACGAGTCGCTCTGCGCAGGCTCCGTGGACCTCATGGACGGGTTCTACCAGTTCGCCGACCCCTCGTGGGGAAGCTGGATGTGCTTCGACGTGGAGGTCACCGCCGACGAGCTCGGGCTCGACTCGATCTACGACGAGAAGCTCGGGCGGCGCGTGGCTGTGTCAGGCGACGACGTCATCTGGCCCTGCTTCGCGGCGTTGCCCATGGGCTGGAGCTGGGCGCTCTGGATCTGCCACGAGGTTCTCGTCGACGCGATGGACGAGGCGGGCCTCCCAGGCGACGGCTGGTGCCTTGACAAAGCCCGTGCGCCGACTCTCGTCGGACAGGCTGTCGTCAGGGCGCCGTACGTCGACAACGGGAATCTTGTCGCGCTCAGCGCGCCGGCGCTCAACGACCGGCTGGACAAGCTCACTGCTGAACTGGATCGTCGTGGGCTTCGCTGGCACGAGCTCGAGCGCGCGCAGCCCGGCCTTGTCATTTTGGGGCTGGTGCTCGACGGGCGCGAGGGCCGACTCAGGCATACTGCCAAGCGTGCCTGGAGGCTCTACCTGGCTCTGCACCACGTGCTTCGGACGCCATGGCTCGCCCGCTGGCAGCTACGGCGGATCGTCGGCCACCTGGTCCACTACTTTTCCGTCGTGCGCCCCGGGCTCAGCGTGCTGGGGTCCTGCTACACGTTCATCGGAGACGGCGACCTGTCCCCTGTCGTGCGCTTGCCTGGAGATGTTCTCGGTGAGCTCGCAGTGGCTGCAGGCCTCGTCTTCCTCGGCGAGGTGGACCTGTGCCGCGTGCCGTCCGACGTCGCCTTCACGACCGACAGCTCGCTGCGAGGCTACGCCGTCTGTGAAGCCCGACTGGAGCCGTGGGAGGTACTGGCGGCCACCAGATGGCGCGAGCGCCAGCGGTTCGTTGCCACCGAGCCCGAGGTCGCGCCCGACGACGAGCATTACGAAGGGCGGGCCGCCGGCTTTTGCGACATCTCCGGGCCACTGCCCGTCGAGGTGCCGCCCCGGCTGCGGCACGCCGTGGCGCCGGGTCGAGCTGGAGATCGGAGTCCCGCCCGAGCCGCTGGCGGCCGCTCTGCTGGACGCTGGCCGCTGGGTGGAGCGCCGCCGTGGCGCGTGGCGCCGACCGGGACGTATCCACGCCCTCGAGGCGCGCGCCGCCGTCGCACCGCTATGGAGAGCGGCAGGCGACGTCAACTTCCACGGGAAGGAGATCCTCAGCCTGTGCGACAACATGTCGTCGGTCCTCGCCTTTGAGAAGGGCAGGGCCACCAATTTTGAGCTCCTGGCGCAGTGCCGCCGGGCTGCGGCTGTCTGCCTCGGGTGCGAGATCCGCTGGCGCCCGAGGCACGTGCCAGGCATGCACAACGTCGCGGACCACGGGAGCCGGGCGGCCGACCGTGGGGAGCTCCTCGCGGGACGCTACCGCGGACGAGGCGCCCTGTCGACGCCCACCAGCGGCTGCCGCCGTTCTCCCGTGGTCCCGCCTGCCGCGGGCAGGGCCGAGGCCCCGCCGACCGCGGTCATCGAGTTTCAGATCGGACGAGAGCAGGCCGAGTCGCTGGGGCCTGAAAACACCGAAAGAGACTGTTGCATTCCGTCACCTCTGTCATCTCAGCTCTTCTCTACCACGCATTCTTCTTCTCACCAGAGTAAATGGCATCAAGATGAAGTTTCGAAAGCACGCCCCAACGACCGACCCCGACAAGACCAACCTGAGCATGTTCGATGCCTCCCTGCTGCACTCGAGCCTCCTGGAGTTCCTCTACGGGGCCCACGTGTACATCTTGGAACACGCGAAGGTCCTCAACCGGACCCTCCTGAGCGCCCTCGGCCTCCTGAAGTTCTTCAACAGGGCCCACCTGTACACCTTGGGCCACACGAAGAGCCTCAACGGGCACCGGCTGAGCGCCCTCGGCCTCCTGAAGTTCCTCGACGGGGTCCCCTTCGTAAAGCCTTCCTCGAGATCTTCGCGGGTACTGCAAATCTCAGTGGTGCGTTGCATGAGCGAGGTTTTCGGATCATGCCCCCGATGGACTCCAAGTATGGGCCCCACTGTGACCTCACGAGCCGTCGAGTCCAACGTCTTGTTGAACATTGGCTCAAGTCAGGAGAAGTCTGGTGGGTCCACCTGGGGCTGCCTTGTACGAGGTGGGTGCCCGTTGGGGGCACCCGCGATCCATTGCCGGCAGACCGCGCGCTCGTGGCGTTCACAGTCCGTGCCTTACGGCTCTGCCGAACCCTCGGGATCTTCGTCACCTTCGAGAACCCGCCTGCGAGCCGAGTCTGGAAGTGGCCCGCGTTGCAGCGCGAGCTGCAGCGCCTTGCCTGGCCGAAGGTGCTGTTTGACTCGTGCAGGTTTGGCGCGCCCTTCAAGAAGCCAGGTGCGATCGCCGGGAGCCTTCCTGGGCTGGGTCATTTTGCACTGCGCTGCTGCTGTGCTGGTCGCCACAGGGTCGAGCTGCAAGGCAAGGTCCGACATCCGACGCGAGGTTGGACGTGGCGTGCGACTTTGGCCGGTGCTTACCCACCCAGCTGGTGCCGCCTGCTGGTCTCGTTGGCTGGCCCAGACGCCCCTCAGAGTGCTTTCGGGCGCTCGACCCAGGATGACCTCCAGGCTTGGGCTCACGCGCTGGCAAGCACGGCCGGGGTCGCCGAGCCTCGCGGAGTCTCGGCGCCGATCTGCCCGCAGCGCTTTCGGCTCCCCTGGAGGCCAGGGTGGGCCACCGCGCTCGACCCGCGCCCGCGCAGCCGCTGACGTGGCGGTTGCGCCAGCGCCGGCGCAGCCGCGGTCGCACTGGCAGCCGCGGGCAATGCCCGGCGTCGACGCCCGCCGGGCATCTGTCGAGGCAGGCGTCGACTCAGCCGTGCTGACGCCCAGGCGCGCAGGCCGAGGCCAACGTGACCCTGTCCCCCGCCCAGTGGCCGTGGCCGCCCGGCGCCGCCGAGCGCAGGCTGCCGCGCGTGGAGACGTCGCTGCCAGTCAGCGGCAAGCCAACCCGGGGGGAGTACCTCCGCCTGGCCTCGCTGCAGCCATCCACAGTCGACAGCTACACTTCCGCCGTGATCGGGCTGACCGACTACGCCAATCGCCGAAGCCTGCTGCTGGCCACGCCGGAGCTCACAAACGAGACGCTCGACTTGTGCTTCGGAAACTCGTTCTTTAGAGGTGGGCCCAGTACTTGACTCGAGAACGCTGCATGGGCTCTGCAAAGTTCAAAGATGGTCTGCTGGACGACCTCGGTTCCATAAAGCCAAAGATGCTCTGACTGGCTGGGCGGCAAAGCTCCCGACTACGCCGCGAGAGCCGCCACAGTGCGAGGCCGTCCAACTGACCTGCGACGACAAGCCATAGGCTGAGCCCGTGCCAGACGCCCGAAGCTGCCAACTCTGTTCTATCTTTCTCCCTTTCTCTGTTTGAAAAGACTCTGAAGCAGGCCGCCCACTCAGCAGGAGTTGGTGATCTCCTGTCAGTCCCTCACTAGTTGCGCCGCAAAGGGCCCTCGCACGACGCTCTGAACCGTATTCGATCGGACAAGGCCATCCGGCAGCGCCAGTGCTGGCGCGCCCGAGCGAGTGTTCGTATTGATGAAAAGCACGAGTACGCCCTTCGTCAGATGTCGAAGCTTACCGAACCGCAGAATTGTCAGCTGCCCGTTTTACTGACTCAACGGTTCGTGACATCCTCAGGCGCGTGTGTGCTGCCTAGTCTTGTCTCTTCGCCCCAGCCTCGGACCAAAGCAGGGATAATGATTTAACCCACCCGCCCTCCCAAGGGCATTTGACGATGGGGATGGGACGCAAATGTAATGGCTGTGTGTGTGTGTGTGTGTGTGTGTGTGGCAATTTTTGGTGATTGCACTTAGCCGCCGAAGTGGTCCCACTTCCCCGGCTCGATTCTTTAGAGTACCACCGTGTGTCCCACGGCGCTTGCCTGATGAAAAGAGATTGATGATCCCTCGTCTCTCGGTTTAATCTGTGCGCTGTCGCTGTTTCCGCAGACCCCATGGGGTGGCCACGCCCTTATGATAGGAATGATTGTCTCTGACTCGTTTTCCTAAGTGCGAGTGGCCTCGGGAGTTTCAGAGCAGTGGAGCCGCGTCCGTCTCGTTCGCTGCTCCTGCTGTTGCTCTCTCCCTCTGCTCCGAAACCGCTCCTGCTCAAGCTCCCACCCACCGACCCCCACACACCGCAAATGTAATGGCTGTGTGTGTGTGCGTGGCAATTTTTGGTGATTGCACTTAGCCGCCGAAGTGGTCCCACTTCCCCGGCTCGATTCTTTAGAGTACCACCGTGTGTCCCACGGCGCTTGCCTGATGAAAAGAGATTGATGATCCCTCGTCTCTCGGTTTAATCTGTGCGCTGTCGCTGTTTCCGCAGACCCCATGGGGTGGCCACGCCCTTATGATAGGAACCCTTGTTGATTCATCGCAGGGGTGCCTGGCGTGCTAGATGATTTCGGTTTTGGTTTTGGCCTTTTTTCTAAAGGAACTCCCCCTGGGGCTTCGGCCCAGCCCGCCGGGGTCCCGGAAGGCTCTTCCAGGACCGCAAACGACTTCAACGTCCGCAAAACAAGTCTCCAAGACGGCTCAAGATGGCCTCCGGGATGGCCAAGATGGCCCTCAAGCTCGCCCAAGAGGGTCCAAGATACCTCCAAGTTCGCCCAAGAAGCCTCCAAGACGGCCTAAGAGGCCTCCAAGAGGTCCTCCAGGAGGGCCCGAAGAGGCCCAAGCCGTTTATTTTCCTAAGGTGTTTGAAGTATTTGGGCATTTGCCTCTTCTCGGTATTCCGACGGCTCAAGACGGCCCAAGAGGCCGCCAAGATCGCCCCAAGATCGCCCACGAGGCCTCTAATATGGCCCCATGACGGCCCAAGAGGCTTCCAATACGGCCCCAAGACGGCCCAAGAGACCTCCAAGACGCCCAAGATGGCCTCCAAGACGGCCCCGAAGCGCCCCAAGAGGACCCCAAGTCGGTTCCGAGAGGCCCCCAAGACGGCTCCCGACAGCGTCATACGTGCCAGGAACCCACCAATATGGCCGAAGTTGGCTCGAAGCTGGCCCAAGACGGCCCAAGAGGCCTCCAAGAGGGCCTCCAGGAAAGCAAGAAAAAGGCCAATAACATTGATTTTCCTTTTGAAGGATTCTGACATTTGCTTCTTTTCGGCCTTCCGACGGACCGAGACGGCCCAAGTGCCCCAAAAGATCGCCCAACAATCGCGCAAGAGGCCTCCAAGATGGCCCCAGAACGGCCCAAGAGGCCCCCAAGAGGCCCCCAAGACGGCCCAGGAGGCCTTTTAAGACGCCAAGATGGCTTCCAAGACGGCCCTGGAGCACCCCGAGAGGGCCCCAAGTCGGCCCAGAGAGACCACCCAAACGGCTTCCGACGGCGTCAGGCGGGCCAGGAGCCCACCAAGACGGCCGAAGATGGCCCTAAGATGGCCCAAGACGGCCCAAGAGGAGGCCTCCAAGAGGGCCTCCAGGAAGGCCCGAAAGGGCATAAATCATTGATTTCGCACAGGTTTTTGAAGGATTGCGACATTTGCTTGTTTTCTGCCTTCCGACGGCCCGAGACGGCCCAAGAGCCCCCAAAGATCGCCCAGGGGGCCCAAGACGGCCCCAAGAGGCCCCCAAGACGGCTCAAGAGGCCTCCAAGACGCTCAAGATGGCTTCGAAAACAGCCCAAGAGCCGTCCAAGACGTCCTACAAGAAGGCCCGAAAGGGTCAAAATGGCCTCCAGGCGGCCAAGATGACCTTCGAGATGCCCACGTGTTCCCCGAAGGCTTTCCAAACCGATTCGGGGAACACATGGTCCGATAGCTTGGCAGAGCTGGCCTCAACGGTCGGCCACATAAGCGCTTCCAAAAAGGCAGGGGGCGGCGGTGATTCGCTGTAGGCGTCTTCGATCCGCCGCCCCCTGTTGATTCATCACAGGGGTGCCCGGCGTGCGGAATCCTTTCGCTTTTGGTTTTGTTTTTTTCCACATGAACTTCCCCTGTGGTTTCGGCCGATCCCGCCGGCCACGCGGAAGGACGCATAACAGGTGGTTGCAAAGGGTTATTCGGCTCCAGACGGCTCCAAGATGGCCAAGATTACACAAGATGGCCTCCAAGTTCGCCCAGGATGGTCCAAGATGGCCTCGAAGACGGCCCAAGAGTCCAGGATGCTTCCAAGTTCGCACAAGAAACACTTAAGACGGCCCCAGACGGCCCCAGACGCCTCCCAGAGGCCTCCAAGACTGCCCAAGAGGCCTCGAAGAGGTCCTCCAGGGTCCTCACGGACGGCCCGAAGAGGTCAAATCATTGATTTTCCATAGGTTTTTGGCTATTGCTCCTTTTCGGATTCCGACGGGCCAAGACTGCCCAAGAGGCCATCAAGATCGCCCCTAGAGTGCCCAAGAAGCATGGTCCTCAAGACGGCCCAAAAGGCCCTTAGTAGTGCACGGTATTGTTCATTTCTGATGTCCGCTTTTCTCGCTCTGTAGCCATCGCTTCTGCTCGAAGCTTCGCTTGTTATGGCAGGGCTCGCGCTCGGACTCGCCCCAGTAGTCCGCGATTGGGCTGCGACTGGCTTGTACGCCGCCAACCTCTGGACATCTCTCCGCAGGGATTGCCACTGCACGTGCACCTTCACAGGGGAGCACGACAGAGAGCTGCTGCAGGTCCTTCAGCGCCAACTAGACAGGTGCGGCCCTGAGCAGCTTCGGAGCGCCCCGTTGGAGTGTCCCTCGGTCTTCTGGGAGGTCGCCTCAGTCTTGTGCCTCGCGGTGTGCGCCGCGTTCATCATCGGCTATCTCGCCGGCAGGCTCCATGGCCATGGTCCCGCGAGGGCTTCCAGACCTGCTGAGGACGTCCCGCCTGGGGGACAAGCTGTACTGCCTGTACAGCCTGGAGGAGAGGTTGTACCACGAGAGGCTTCTGTGCGCCCACGTGGAAGGCTCACGGCGGGCAGTGGCGACGCCTGACGGCGACGTGTACGTCGAGGACTTTGCTGACGAGGATCATGTGGAGATCCACCGCGCCGGGCCGCGTGGTGGAGCACCGCCGCAGCTGCGCAAGAAGATGCTGTGCCGCTTCGACCTTGACGAACAGGGCCTAGTCTCTCTCATGGACGAGGGGGCTCGGCTGGCGGAGTCGGAGCGCCGCGAGGCCCTTTGTGAGTCGGTGCCGCCGGGGCCAGTGCCCATCCGCCGGCTCCGAGGGAAGCAGCATGCACCCCCTGCGGCGGCGGACTGTGGCACGGACACGCCGCGTGGCTCCGAGGTCGGCCTTGCCGCCGGCGCGGCGGAGCCGCCTCGGCCACCGCCGGCACACGCCCCCCCGCCTCTCGCGGGCGCCGGCGGGGGGCCCCTGCCGCCGGTGCGGCTGGACGACGGCTGGGTCGCCCTGGAGTCGCGGCTGGGCTTCAGGCGGGGCTCGCCAGTGGACGTGACGTTCGCCACCGTCTACGCCCTGGACGATCGCGCCATGGCCTCGTTCCCGGAGGGGGTCATCACGCTGGGACGAGCGGGGGCCCTCTCCGACGAGGTGCCGCTCTTTCCGCGGGACGCGCAGGATGAGGTACTGGACGAGCGCATCCTGAGGTACCGGAGGAGCGGCACGGGCCAGCAGCGGCGCGCCTTCGCGGAGGTGGTGGCCGAGCAGCGCAAGGTGCTCAGTACTCAGGAGTGCCGCGTGCAGGGGCCCGCTACCATCGGCTGGCTGCTTCAGGCACATCTGGAGCAGGGTAGCGGGCCCGTCCAGCGGCACTACTGGTGGCGACAGATCCTGGGGTTGGCTGCGGCCGACCCCGGGGTCGACGAGCATTTGTTCCTGTGCGAGCTGATCGAGACGGCCTCCACGGCCGACCAGCTCAACCTCCCCGGCTGCGAGGCGTTCGAGCTGGCGGCCAGGCGCTTCCAGCTGTGGGAGGAGGTGTACTCCGAGGCCCTGCGCCAGGTCGAGGTCTCAGGCACTGCGGGGGCCACGGCAGACTCGGACGGCTGGCTGGACGAGCGCAGGATCTTCCTGGGCGGCACCCGCTCCACGGGCCATGCTCTCGCGTCGCCGTCCTTGGAGAAGCACGTGGCAGAGAGGATGCAGGAGGAGAGCGCCATCCTGAAGGAGGGGCGGAAGGGCAGAGAGGAGCGCCGCATGGCACGCGGTGTGAGCAGCAGCGGCGCCGACGCCGCACCAGGAGGTGGCGATCAAGGCGGCGGCGGCGGCGGCGCAGGCGGCGGCGGCCCGGGCGGCGAGGCCGTTGTGGCCGCGGCCGCGGGCGGGCTTAGCCCGCCGCTTGTTTTTCGGCTTGTGCGCGGCCGCTGCGGCCCCCCGGGCAGCGGGCGCTTTCTCAGGGGAGGGCCGCCACTGCGGTGGTGATGGCGGCCTCGGCGCAAGGAGTCTCGGACACTGGCATGGCGCGCGACGCCCTGCCCCTCCCGCTGGGCGCGACGCTCGACGAGCTGCTGCATGGGGCGGCGGCCCGCCTTCTGCCGCATGGCGGCGGTCGGCGCGGGCGGCAGCGCCGGCGTCAGGAGGTCTGGCTGCGCGAGGGCATCGCCGCGCTGAACGACCTCGGTGGCCGCGGTGGGGATGCTCCCGCGGGGGCCCCAGCGGCCTGCCAGGTCGCCGCCGTGCGGCGCCTCGCGCAGCTCTACGGCAGGGTGGGGCCGCCGCCGTCCGACGTGACTCCCCTGGGGGCGTGGCAGACGCTCCAGGCTTCGCGGAACGGCTATGCAGACGTCATGGCCGAAGGTGCTTCGACTACCTATAGGAAGGGGGCCATGGCGCTCCCGCGGGCTGCGGCGGGGCGGGTACGGCTTACTGACGTGCTGCCGCCGCACCTGCAGTCTCTCTTGTTTGATTCGTCGCAGATGTTACGAGAGCCGGAGGCTCGCAATTTTGCTATGGGTGAGGCTCCCAGGGTCTGTGCCATGGACCCAGTGTTGCAGCGGCATGGCTACCAGTTTGGCGAGTGCCTCTCCGAGCTGCTCTCCGCGGGCATCATCGAGCGCGCGGCCGAGGGCAGCATCATCGAGCGCGCTGGCATCTTTTTCGTCCCAAAGAAGGACTCGTCGCTGCGGCTGATCTTCGACGCCCGAAGGTCCAATGCCCATTTCCAGGACCCGCCCTACACGCTGCTCGCGAGCGGGGAGGCCCTGGCGAACTTGGAGGTTGACGCCGCTGGAGGGATTGCTGTTGCCTTTGGCGACGTCGAGTGCTGCTTCTACCAGTACGAGCTGCCGTCGTGGGCACGTGCCTTCTTCGGTTTGCCAGCGGTCCAAGCACGCTTCTTGGATCCAGCAGCCCGTCAGCAGCTGGGGGTTTCAGACCCCATCGGAGATGATCCACTTCGTTGCCAGAGTGGTCCCCATGGGCTGGTCGTGGGCCGTGCACTTCACTCAGGAGGCCCATGCCCACGTCCTGAGCACCATCAGCCCGGGGGCGCCCTGGATCGCTGACAAGGTGCCCACGCCGGCGCTCGGGGCTCAGTGCGCCACCGCCAAGATGCTGCACATCGACAGCGTCGCAGTTTTCACGTCAGGCAGCGGCGACCCCGCTCTGGAGGTGGAGCGCATGCTGGCTGCTCTGGGTGCGCGGGGGATTCAGGCTTCCTTCGACCGCGATGATGGGGACCTGCACACCCTGCTCGGCTTCGTGCTGCACAAGCCCTCGGCCACCTGGCGCCTTCCGCACAGCAAGTTTTGGCGGCTGAAGTTCAGCCTCGATTTTGCACTGGCGCCTGGACGTCTCGTCACGGGGCGCGAGCTCGAGAGGCTGATGGGCCACATCACCGCGGCCGTCATGCTGCAGCGGCACATGCTCTCGCTCTTCCATGCGATCTATGAGTTCTGCAGGCGCTCGCGGGACAAGCGGCAGCCTCTCTGGTCGTCGGTGAGGCGGGAGCTCTCGTGGTTCAGAGCGCTGCTTCCCTGCGTGACCGTTTCGCTGAGTCGCCCCTGGTGCGAACGTGTCACCGCCACGGACGCCTCTCCATGGGGGTTTGGCGTCGTGGAGCAGCCGTGGCCCATCAGTGAGGTTCGGCGAGTTGGCAGCCTCTCGGAGCGCAGTCGCTTCAGAGGAGTCCTGACAGCCGATTACGCCCCCAGGGACACGCTGGTCGAACAGCAGCTCCTGCACGCCTCGGCTGCCGACGTCACCGCGGAGGGCACCTTGACCCACGTTGAGGAGGTGCCGGCAGCGCGGCTCTTGGCTGACCCTTGGGCGGTCGCGGGCGCCCGTCGCTGGCGGCGTGCCGCGGCCATCCACGTCCTGGAGGCTGAGGGGGCGCGCTGGGCTGTGCGGCGCCTTGCTCGCAATTCGCAGCTGCATGGACATCGGCACCTCATCCTGGGTGACAGCCTCGGGGTGGTTTGCGCGTGTGAAAAGGGCAGAGCTGCACACTTTGCACTCAACGTCGTCTGTCGGGAGATCTGCGCTGTCTCAATCGCCTCCGGGATGCAGCTCAGGTTCAGGTGGATCCCATCAGAGCTCAACCCTGGAGACGCCCCCTCTCGCAGGTTCATGCCAGGCGCGGGGAAGCACCACGTTGTCGGACAGTGCAGCACACCCCCGGGCCTGGCGGAGAATGGCACACATCAAGCTGGGCCTCTGTCCGGAGTCATCGGCTCGAGGGAGCGCAACCATGCCAGCGACGGCCTACTGGGTCAACCCCGCCTACGGCAAGCGCGCCCGCGATGCAGCGGAGCCCAGGCCGGCGCCGACCACCCGGCGCGCCTCCGACTGGCGCGGCGGGCACGGGCCGCCAGGCCCTTCGGGCCCCCGCCGGGGCTGGACATCCCAGGCGCCGCTGAGCGACAGGCCCGCAGAGATCTGTGCGCGGCGGGCGCGGCTGTGTCCGCGGCTCTCGCGACTGGCGGCTCGTCGGGTACGACGCGCCACCGAGCTCTCGTACCTGCGGGCGCTGACCATGCTCTTGGGTTGGCTACGGCTGCTGGCGCTGCCGAGCTGGACTCCCGCGCAATGGGACGAGACGCTGGTGGACTACTCCGAGTGGGCCTTCGACCGCGGCATGGGCCGGGAGGCGTTCTCGCGCACCCTCTGTGCCTTGGTTTGGGGCGAGCCCGCGCTGGGAGGGCCCGTTCGGCGCCTCTTTCCCGCGGCGCACGCGTCGCTGTCAGGCTGGACGCGGCTCCAGCCGGGACACTCTCGCCCGCCGCTGCCGCGGGCGCTCGCGCTCGCGATGGCGGCCGTGCTGGCCTCGATGGGGAAGCCGGACTCGGGCCTGTGCATCTTGGTGGCCTTCGAGTGCTACCTGCGCCCGTCGGAGGCCGCGACCTTGCTGGCCAAGCAGCTCCTGCCAGGCAGATGCAAAGAGGTCGGGGTACTGCAGCACCCCCTCCTGATCCTGCATCCAGAGGAGCTCGCTACCAGCTCCAAGACGGGCGAGTTCGACTCCACAGTTGCGTTCGACCTTCCTCGACATCACTGGATTGGGCGCGCTGTCGTGCGGCTGCAGCGGCTTCGACACGAGGACGAGCTGCTGTTCCAGATCTCGTATCCGCAGCTCCTGGCCGACTTCCATGCTGCCTGTCAGTACCTCAAGCTCGAAGGTTTGGGCTTCTCGCCGCGCTGCCTGAGGCACGGCGGCGCGACACGCGACCGCGCCGCAGGTTGCCGCTCACTTCTGGAGGTGCAGAGGCGAGGAATGTGGAGAGCGGCGTCGTCAGTTCGGAGGTACGACAAGGCCGGGCGGCTGGCGCTGGCCATGCGGAACCTCAGCAGCGCCCAGAGGAAAAGCTGCGAGATCTGGGCGGCAGCCGCCCCGCGGCTCTTCGACAGCGCCTACGTGCTGCCCTCCGCGCCGGCCGCCTTGGCGAGCGGCGGGCGTTCCTCGACCTCTTCTCAGGCTCGGGCGGCCTCGCCGCAGAGCTGAAGAAGAGAGGCCATGCTGTTGTTTCAATTGACGTGCTCCTTGGCCCTGAGTGCGACTTGCTGCAAGATGATGTCTTCCGCGCTCTTCGAGGTTGGCTTGAGTCTGGTATCATCTGGGGCATGTTTTCAGGCAGCCCTTGTGAAAAATGGTCACAGGCTCGCAGGGCCCCGCCTCACAGTGTGATGCCTCGTCGCTTGCGGACGAAGGAGCACCTTCGAGGCCTGCCTGGCCTGGAGGGCGCCGACTATCACGATGTCGTCACCTCAAACAAGCTGGCTGACATAATCGCACTCCTGCTAGGCATCGCCCTGAGACGCCAGCTGCCAGCTGGAGAGGAAAATCCTGCATCTAGTCTGCTGTGGCTGCTCCCCAGCCGCCAGCGTTTCCACTTTCACGCTGATGTCCAGACTGTTGTCTTTGATTATTGCGGCGCTGGCCGCCCTTTTCGTGCTCGCACTCGTATGGCTCTCGCCAATATATCTATTCCGCCAGAGCTGTACACGTGGCACTGTGCATGTAGGGGTGTCTGCACGTTCTCGGGCAAGCCGCACCTTGTTCTGTCTGGTAAGTCCAAGGCCGGCTTCCTTACTCACCTTACAGCGTCCTACCCCCCGCGCCTGTGCTTCGTGCTCGCTCGAGAACTTTCTCACAGCTACGTGTCCCTGCGGGCTAGCCGCCTGTGGAATTTGATGCGGTAATCCAGTGCATTGCTTGAAGACGGGGTTTTATTCATGAGGATGGGTTGTATGGGACAAACTGCCCACGCGACATGTTGTCTTCGCCTCAGCATTTCTTTGGAAAACAAGAATGAACATAGTAGTGCACGGTATTGTTCATTTCAGATGTTCGCTTTTCTCGCTCTGTAGCCATCGCTTCTGCCCTCGCCAGCCCAAGGCCCATTTAATTGTTGCGTTATCTGCGGGTTGTGTGGGACAAACTGCCCACGCGACATGTTGTCTTCGCTTCAGCATTTCTCTGGAAAACAAGAATGAACATGTCTCAGATGGCCTCCAAGACTGCCAAGATGGCCTCGAAGATGCCTCCAAGACGGCCAAGATGGCCTCCAAGACGGCCAAGATGGCCCCAAAATGCACCCAAGACGGCCCAAGATGACCTCAAGATGACTTAAGATTGCCCGAAAGTCCCGCAAGAGGCCTACAAGACGGCCCAAGAGCCGTCCAAGACGTCCTCCAGGAGGGCCTGACGGGGTTAAAATCATTGGTTGCCTTTTGGTGTTTGAAGGATTTGGGCTGTTGCTCCTTTTCAGTTTTCCGACGGCCCAAGCGGCCTGCACCATCGACCCAAGAGCGTCCAAGAGGCCTCCAAGATGGCCCCATGACAGTCCAAGAGGGCTCCAAGAACGTCCCAAGACGGCCCAAGAGGCCCCCAAGACGCCACAGATAGCCTCCAAGACGGCCAAGATGGCCTCCAAGATGCTTCCAAGACGCCCAAGATGGCCGTGTAGACGGCTAAGGTGGGCCGAAGATGCACCCAAGATGGCCTAAGACGGCTCTATAGGCTCGCAAGAGGGCTCCAAGACGGCCCAAGAGCCCTCCAAAACGTTCCCCAGGAAGGCCCGAAAGGGCCACAATCATTTACTTCCCTTTCTGGTTTTTGAAGGATTGGGGCATTTTTTCCAGCTCGCCGACAACCCAAAACGACCCAAGCGGCCCCAAACATAGACCCACGAAGGCCCCAACAAGACGCGAAGACGACCCAAGATGGCCCCCAAGAATCCCAAAATAGCTTCCAAGACGGCCGTGAAGCGCCCAAAGTGGGCCTCAAGTCTGTTCAGAGAGGCAGCCAAGACGGCTTCTGACGGCGCCAGACGGACCGGCAACGCTTTAATATTGCCAAAGAGGCACCCAAGAAGCTCCCAAAGGCCCCCAAGAGGCCGATGGAAGCCCCCACGAGGCTTCCAAGAGGCCCCCAGGAAGGTCCCAGGAGGCCATAAGAGTGCCCCAAAAGGCCTCCTCGCCCTTTTTCCTGATCCTCCCCCTCCTCTCCAGAGTTTGCTCCCTGTTGAGTCCGCCTGCGCGCTGCTCTGTCGCTTAGCCCTTTTCGGCTCAGTCTTTTCTCCCTGCATGTGGGAGCACCCTTACGGCTGTCTGCTGAAATTTCTCGACCTCTCCCTACAGTCTGTGGTGTCGGCTGCCATCTGCGCCCGGCACGACACGGTTGTGAACCTCTCCTGTCCTGCTCCACCAGCGGCGCACGTTGAGCTGCATTGCCCAGAGGTGCGGGCACCATCTGTCCAAGTGGAGTGCGTGTCCAGCGGCCCGGGGTTCGTCGGATACCTCGCGCACGGCCTCGCTGTGTTCGGCATCTTCGTCGCTGGTTGGGTCTGCGGGGCTCTCCTCGCAGTGCCGACCTGGTTGTGTGCGAGGCGACGGGGCCCACGAATAGGTCGGGGGACCTCGGCGGTAGCATCGCCCGCCCTGGGCGACGGCCTGCCGCGCCTTGCCCAGGAGCAGTTGGCCCTGATCCACGCTTGTCGCCACGGGGCGGATCTCTGGCACGAGAGGATTGTGCTGGGGGTCCACCTCGCCGACGCAGGCAATTATTTCACGCTCGCGCCCGACGGGGGCGCGCATGTCGAGGATTGCTCCCCTGCGTCGGGCGATGTCGAGAGAATCCGTGGGGCGGTGGGTCTCGGAGACACGCCGCGTGGGTTTCAAGGGGCCAACGTCTATCGCTTCCGCACCCCCCCCCGCGATCGAGGAGCTACGCCAACACTTTTATCGACGCAGCTCTGGCGCTAGGCCTTCCCGCCCCCGCAGATATCGTTCCACGCGCTGGTCCTCCGCCGCCCCAGGGGCCCGCTGACCCCCGGCGTCCTGGCCAGGGGGTCCAGGCCGCGGGCCTTGCCGCCGCTGCTCCGCGGGCGGACCTGGTCTGGGTGGCGGCGGGGGGCGCGGGGGACCTGCCGAAGGGCGCCGAGATGGGGCTGACGGCCGACGCCATCTCGGCAGGAGATCGGGGGATCATGCCGTGGAGGGGCGGGCTTGTCTTCTTGGGGCGGCTCACTCGCCCTGGGGTATATCGATTCACAAGCGACGACCTGCGGGCGCACCCCGCGCTGTTCGACGCGGGCGGCTCTAGGCGCGTCGGGTCCGGAGAGGGCGCGCGGAGGCAGGATGGCGCCCTGCCTGCGGGCGGCCTCGACCTACAGGGCCCGCGAACGGCTGCTTGGTTCCGCCGACGCATCGCGGAGAACGGCCCTACCCCCCAGG